GATCGTGCTTCTACTCTGGTTCGCGGGCGCAGCTGTGGAGCGAGCGGTGGGCACGGAGCCGCCGCTCAAGTGCGACGAGCTGAGGCTGGGACAATATCCTGAGCACGGCAGGGCATGGGACCAGGCTCGGGACGGGCGGCGGGGGCTCGGTTGCTATGACGATGGGGTTTGGGAGGGCGGAGGGGCCGGCGGCGCCTCATCCGCAGCCCGGTTTGCGTGAGGGAAGGCCGCATGCCGGGGGAGAGGAAGGAGAGTTTGGAGGGCATGAGGTGCCTGGCAGGGAGGAGGTGTCCCTCGGGTGTCGGAGAAATCCCCGAGGTGGTCTCGGCTGGCAGGAGTAGGAGAGGACGCATCTGCAGCGGCCTGCGTTTATTTTGGGTGTGATACAGCATCTGCCCGTGTGCAGGTTTGGGGCGTCTCTCAGATTTTCAAAGAGAAAATCCCATGGGATGAGAGACCTCTTTCCTCCACCTTCTGATTTTTTGCAGGATACTCGAGCGAGACGCGGTGGCTTTCCAGAACGTTGCGTCCTCCTCTGCAGCCCCACGGAGCAGGGCGCAGGTGGTACAGGCTCCGGCTGTGAGGCTCCTGGCTCTCTAAAGGCACATCAGGCCTTCCCCCGAAAATGTTTGTTGATGGCAGCTGACAGTTATTGATGTAGCTGCGGATCAGAAGTGTCAGGAAGGCAAATCTTGGAGAAGTTAACCTCATCGCCTGCTTTACTTGGCCGTGGGAGTTCAGACCTCTGGAAACTAGTTCCTGCAAATTTTTTTTTCTAGTCCAAATTCCTGGCATTTCAAAATTTCTTTTTTAGGTGTTCTTTGAATTTTGTGTGTTATTGGAGATTTAATCTCAACCAAATGTATGGATTTAAAGGCACTCTGATAGTGGGATAAGGGAAGAAGACTAGATTAGGTGTGCCACCTTGTTGCCTTTGAATACAGAGGCCGTGACTGATAAATATTGTAGTTCCTTCAGGTAGTGCTGACTGCAGCACTAATTAAACATGGAGCTTATGCAATATATTGGTGTATTAAATTGGATTAGCAGATTTGCTGTATGGTAATGTGCTGTTCCTATTTTGGGGGTTGGGTAGGAAGGAAAGCTAACATCAAGGTGCGTCTTAAATCCTCAAGGTTTAAAGAGGGTGGAATAAATCACTGTTAAATCTGTTGTAGTGTTTCATATGAATGTTTTCCTCAATTACCTGAACATATATGTGTGATGAGCCTAAAATAGACAACAGTACACAAGAACCAATGAATTGTACAAATCACACAGCATATGGTAAGGATTTCCAACTTCTAACATGTATTGACAGTAGCTACATTTTCCAAGGAAGTGTTCAATTTATGCATTTCTCTATCTGCTAGGTGAGCTTTAAAAAACATGGGATTAATAATATCGTTAGTATGAAAGCCTAAAACACTTGTGAGGATTGGATGCGTTACTAAAAATTAATAAATACGTCGACTCTGATTGGTACATTTGTAAGTGAGGCTTCTGGTAAATCTCTTCAAGGTATGTTATATCCTCTAGGCTGTGTCCTGCACTGCTGTGATTAAAACAAACCCTTCCTGTCATACTGATTTTGCATAGACTTATTAGAAGAGTTGACACGCGACAGAACAGCATTCAAAATCTTCTGTTTTTTAAAGTTTCTGTTCAGGAAACTTGGTGCCTTCCGTCATCTGGAGTTTTTGGTGCCAGGCGGATCTCTCTTGAAAGCACTTGCCTGTATTTTGGTGTTAAGCTGTGATGTACTTCAGAGTGCAACAGAAAAATGCTTAAATTGATCACTTGATTTACCACGTGTGTTTTGCTTTTCTGATGTTTTCAGACATTGAAATAACCCATCTCTGCATTAAATGGAAGCACAACAGTTTTGCTTTATGTACACTCGCGTTTAAAATACACGTGTATGCTTCTTGTCCTCCATATTCTGTTTTCCATAAATGCTGAATAATTATCTTCACTGGGATGCTCAGGGATCGTGAAGGCTTTCCAAACATTTGAGAAAAGGGATAAAAGTACTATCCAAAATGGATCCTTTTTTAAGTTATGCATTCCTTTACATCATTTTGGCATGAAGTCCCTGATTACAGACATCTAGTCGGTGAGCAGCAAGAATATTCTGTAGTTTGAGGTTGTCTAACCAGTGTGATCATATTTAATACACTACACATTCAAACAGGAGATAAGCCTCAGAGTGGGGAAACTTGCTAAATTAGTATTGTTTTCTGTGCCTGTATAGAGTATTTTACACACAGCAGTTTTCAGATTGTCCCCACAGTATTTTGAGTTGCTTCTTTGTCAATATTAACTAAGTAATAAAAAGTTCATATTCTGGATCGTGCTCAAAGCACGGCCGTGTCGGAGCACTTTTCTGGGATCCATCACCCAAACAAATAGGGGTTGAATTCAAAGCCCCACAGTGGTCTCACAATGTTTTTGGTAGTTTTTTGTAATTGTCTTAGATTAGGCACACTGATCACTAGCACCCATGTAGGACTTTATAGCAGTTAAGTCCAGACATAGATTTATTTTTTTGGCTGTTACTGACCAACTGACATTTTTGTTGTTGTTCCAGTGCAATATGGATAGATGTTTTTAAAAATATCCAAATCCTAGTCCTCTTGCCCGTGTGTATTACTGGAGACTCTGGACAGAAATGTTGAACCTGTCTTCCAGTTTTGTTGGAATTAACCAACGGGACTCAAATACTAAAACCTGATAGAAAGTGGGTAAAGGACTGGGATTTTTCCCTTTTAAACAACAGAATTCAACACTGGAGAGTAACTAATAGTCTGGTAATGCATTGCAAACTTCTAGTACATGTTACTTTCTGCTGTGATTTCCACTTTGGTTCTCTGAAGAGTCAAGCTTTAGCTTAGAATAATAGGTTTAATAATAATAATTTGGGTTGAAAGAGACCTCAGGAAGTCACAGAGTCCAACCTGCTGCTCAGAGCAGCACTGGCGCTGAATTCAGACCAGGTTTCTCAGGGCTTTCTGCCGTCAGATCTTGAAAATCTCCAAGGATGGTGGTGGCACCGCCTCTCTGGGCCACTTGTTCCAATATTTGACTGTTCTCACTATGAAAATGTTTTCTCTGTGTCAGGTTCAGATTTCCCATAACAGAGCCAAAGTGGAAATTACAACAGAACTAGGGCAGCAATTAGGTTTGTATATTTTGCTTAATGTGTATCAAGCAAAAGAACAAGTTAGTCATAGGACTGTCTTAAAAATTAGATATTTTTTCTAAAAGTAATATGTGTGTATGCACTGTGCTTTGTATCAAGAGAACTGCACGTACAATCTCATTTGTTTATTGTACTTGTGTCTTGTCAGAAAAGCGCTCCAGTACCCAGCCAGTGACTTTAATTTTAAATGATTTTTTTGTCCTCAGTTCAATGTCTGCCAGCACCAAATATTACTTGCAAAGATCACCTTGGCATAGAAAAAGTCTTTACGGGACACGAAGTTGGATTTTACAAGCCTATTGCCTGTCGCAATGTGTAAGTGCACTATTTTTTTGGGTAACGATTTGTCTTTGTTTTCACATTGCAGTTTTCTAAAGTAGTGTGATGTGCTGATGGAAGGAAAAAGAGAAGTAAGATAGAATGATACAAGTATTGCCCAGAACTTAATCCTCTGATAAACACTAAGTAATATAAGAGTATTGTTTGTAAAAGGATACATGTTTAGAAGTAAATCTGTCTCAGCTATGGACACATTTTTTTCTTTGTTTAGTTAGGTTTGCGTCTCTGCGTTACCTTTGTATTTTACCTTTGCTTTACTTTGCACTTCACCCTGGCAAAAATTAGCCTCAAATGCTAACTTTGCATTTTATATTTGCTTAAAATCCACACAGCTGCTGAAAGGGGCTGTCTGGGGACACCTCTCCGTCCTTCCCCTGCCGTACCCCGCTGGATACCGAATCAGGGAACCGATCCGGGTTGGAGCTAACTTGGATCTGTTCCCCATTTGAGTCACAGCACGATCGCTCCGAGTGCTTGTGCCAGCACAAGGATGAGGGCTGCTCAAGGATAAGAGGGTGGAGAAAGGACTGGGCTGGGCTGCTCTGCCCATGGCACTACTGGTGTGCCCAGTTAGAAGTGTGTCTGTACCTGCAGCTGACGTTGTATTGCAGTTGGGGGAGTTTAAGTCTCTCTCCCAGAAAAATCTCTTTTAGAGGAACTGTTTTCTATTTTTAAACAACCTTTGTATTTAATCACATCATCTGTGCTTTTTAAGAGCCTGTTTCTGAAGCGTGGAAATGACGTACCTAGTTTTTCTAAAGCTCACTGTGAGCAGTGGAGAGCTCTGGATACCAATAAATGTTCCAACTGACCAATGCTAATGGTCAGCAAGCACCTGTCAGTACCATTTGTTTCCCCTTTTTTACACAGGAGCCTTTTTCTCTTGTGCTCCTGGAATCTTTGGAAATTAAAACTCCAGTAATACTCGCTGGGTATTCCTTATCACACTGGTGGGCAAATAACTCTGATGTGATGCTTGCTGCTGAATAATTTGCCTAACTCAGAAGTGCAGCTCTGCCTCTTAGTTTCATAAATATTTTCGCTGTATTTAGCTTTCTCAGCAGTCAAAGCTCAGCAAATTGAAGAAAACATTACATCTAATCAAATTTAAATGCTAGCAAACTAGACTTCAGTCACATTTTTGTCCAGAAACAATTGCGTTTCAGTCCCATCTGTGATGGGGACTGAGAATAAGATGAGCTATACTAGGTCGATAAAATTGTTTCCTCTTTGAAGTAGAAAGCAATTCTTATGTTTGGAGGGTTTTTATATGTGTATTTTTGATTTAATAAATATATATTTTCTAAGATATTTTCTAGTAATATTTTAAATGCAGATTTTTCTATACATTTATTAATTAAAACCCTAAATCTATATAGGTAGGAAAAGGTAATCTTTCTTATGATGTCTATTACTTGATGATAACTGTTATTTGTGATGAAATATTCAATGGTTACACTACCAAAAGAACTTTTCTGCTCCCATGACTGCTAGGAAGGCAGAAGGGGAAGAGAACCTTTTGTGGGCATGCAGAGAACTCACAAAAATCCAACTGTGAGTGTAGGAACAGTTACACAAGTGTGCCCTTGGTAAAGCCCCAAAGGCAGTTAAAAATGGCAGCAAGATTAATATTACCGTCCTTCATCTGTATGCTTGTAACAAGTGGTCTAATCGCTGGTCATTATATCAGTCTTATTTAAGGCATTTTGAATGTTGCCCAAGTGTTAGGAACATTATTTTAAGCAGGAATCTCCAGGTTGATATGACAACCCGTTCTCCTGCTTTTTGGAGATTTTCCAGCATCTTACCTGAGTTTTGATGGAAACTGGAACTGTCTTCGGGCAGAAATAACCGCACATCATTTAACCAGAAAATTGGGAAGATGCCTTCTCAAGCCATAGCAGGATTGGCCTAGCATGGGGACAGCCGCTAAATCTCTATCCCTGGCTTTTGGAAGGAGCACATCAGCAAGTTTTACTCAGCCAAGGCTGTAATTTAACAGCAGTCCAGATAACAGTTCTGGGATGCAGTTATTTTAGAGCACAGCTAGGAAATGTTTCATATTTGTGTAAGTGGATGTGTTCAAGTTGCTCAAGGAAAGGCTTGCAGGTGCTAATAACGTTGCTCCAGCACAGAAGTACTGCGAGTCAGGATTGCTTTGGCTGGGTTTTAACGTGATGTTTTGGAGGTAGACTTTTTGCCCAATTCTAGAATTCCCCAGATTGGCACCCTATTGTGTATTTTTCTTAATACGCTCTTAATATCAACTGGTGTGGGAGAGCTGGAAGAAAAAGTATTTAACATGGCAGCTGGAAGGAATATATGTAGAAAAACTAAAGATTGGATGAGGCTGAGAAGCAAAAAAAAAAATCAAAAGAGCAATAATAATTTGCATCTTCTACTCAGTGGTAGAAATTACAACTGAGATGCCTGGGATATGTTATTTTCCTACTTGCTGGTTTAGTCTTTGGTGTATATTTTTATCTGAAAGGGTAAGCGAGGCAAATGAAATACAAGAGTGGATGCAGCCTTGTAACAGTATCAACATGCTCCCACTTCATACAAGATTTCTTCTGCTCCTCAGGTTGATGTGGACTGGGTTGCAGACTGTTCTGCTTTTCAAAAGCAAGTGCTCAGTTTATTACTGGTTTCAATCAGGGGCACCTCAAATTACAGCGTGTTCCCACCTTCTGTAAGAGCTCCTTTTATGCTTTAGACTCCTTGGAGAGTTGCTTGTTGACACTTTGTAGTTGATAAACAATTTCCAACAGCTTACCTCAACTTTTAAATAAAGCCATTAGTGTTCTTTACAGTGGAAACAAGACAGTTGTAAAGATGATAATTTA